ACCTCGTGATCTGCCCGCCTCATCCTCCCAAAGTGCTGGGATTACAGGTGTGAGCCACCACACCCAGTCTTAAAATCTATTTATCTGATAAAAGTATATAGCTACTTTTGCTCTTTTTTGGTTTCCATTAGAATATCTTTCCATCCCTTTATTTTTAGTCTATGTGTGTCTTTATAGGTGAAGAGTTTCTTATAGGCAGCTAATCATTAGGTCTTTTTTTGTGTGTGTATCCATTCAACCACTCTATGTCTTTTGATTGGAGAGTTTAGTCCATTTACATTCAACGTTATTGATAAGTAAGGACTTACTACTGCCATTTTGTTATTTGTCTTCTGATCTCCCCTTCCTCCCTTCTTTCCATCTTCCTTTTTATGAAAGTGATTTTCTCTGATGGTATGTTTTAATTTCTTGCTTTATATTTTTGTGTATCTGTTGTAGGCTTTTTGATATGAGTTTAGCATGAGGCTTGCGAATACCATCTTATAACCCATTATTTTAAACTGATGATAACTCTGATTGCAAAAACAAGCAGAGAAAACTAATACTTTATACTTTAACTTCATCCCTCTGATTTTTAACTTTGTATTGTTTCTACAATATTTGTATCTTATTATACTATGTCTTAAAAAGCTGAAGCTATTATTTTTGATAGGTTTGCCTTTTAGTCTACTACTCAAGATATGAATAGTTTACATATTTGTAGAGGTACCATCTTGGTGATCTTGGGTGAGATCTTGGAGAATTCCCTGGATCACCGTTAGCAGTGCGAGTCTGTACAGGTCTGCAGCAATCGATTCTTGCCTCCTCGGAGGAAAGAATTTGGCCAAGCAGCATAAGGCAGAGTGAGAGACCAAGGCAAAGTTTAGAGCAGGGGTAAACGTTTATTAAAATGTTTTAGAGCAGGAATGAAAGGAAGTAAAATACACTTGGAAGAGGGCCAAGCGGGCGACTCGAGAGATTCAAGTGCCTGGTCTGACCCTTCACTTGGGGCTTCTATACATTAGCATGGTTCTGAGGTTTGTGTCCTCCCTTGGTTTTTCGTTGGGGTGGGCTGTCTGCATGTCAGTGGCCTGCCAGCACTTGGGAGGGGCCGCATGTGCAATGTGTTCACTGAAGTTGTACGCATGCTCATTTGAGGCATTTTCCTTCATCAGTCCAATGTTCCCAGAGGAAGGTTATATACCAGTTAAACTCTGCCATCTTGCCTCTTATTATGTGTGCATGTGCCTGTTTGACCAACTCCTGAGATCTTATCGGGAAGCTGCTGATGACCAGCTTCAGGTGTTTTCTATCTTTTTTTGAGATGGATGGAGTCTCACTCTGTTGCCCAGGCTGGAGTGCAGTAGTGTGATCTTGGCTCACTGCAACATCTGCCCCCTGGGTTCAAGCGATTCTCCTGCCTCCACCTCCCGAGTAGCTGGGAGTAAAGGTGCATGGCACCACGCCCAGCTAATTTTTGTATTTTTTGGTAGAGATGGGTTTCTCTGTGTTGCCCAGGCTGGTCTTGAACTCCTGGCCCCAAGTGATCCATCTGCCTTCACCACCCAAAGTGCAGGGATTACAGGTGTGAGCCACCAAGCCTGGCCCAGAAATGTTTTCTTTTGGGAGGATTTATCTCATAATTTTTACCACTTGGCCATGCCAACTTAATTTGCAGATTAATTTCCCCCAAAGACGGATGGGGAATAACAGAAATATTTAAGTGTTTGACAGCTTCCTCCTAGTAACGTTCTCCTAGGCTTTATTCCAAGATGTCAAGAGAGGTACGCATTTTGCGTCTTCCAGAGAGGAGCTGAGATACAGGGGAAAGTTTCATGCTCATGTTACAACTGTAGCCACCCACAATTTTTCAAGGAGTGTAAGAAAAAGGTAACTCCCAGTGTGAGGCCCTTCTAAAGCCTCAACTTTCAGAATCCTTTCACTATGTTAGATTTGCTGATTAATGAATATGTAACCGAACATTAAGAGTAATAATGGGCGGTGGCTCACTGTAGTGAGTGCCTGTAGTCCCAACTACCTGGGAGGCTGAGGGAGGAGAATGGCGAGAACCCGTGAGGCAGAGCTTGCAGTGAGCTGAGATCGTGCCACTGCACTCCAGTCTGGGCGACAGAGCAAGACGCCGTCTCAAAAAAAAAAAAAAAAAAGAGTAATAATGGGGCTAAGTGCAGTGGCCCACACCTGTAATCCCAGCACTTTTGGAGGCCAAGGCAGGAGAATCACTTGAGCCCAGGAGTTTGAGACCAGCCTGGGCAACATGGTGAAACCCCATCTCTACAAAAAATACAAAAATTAGCCGGGTGTCGTGGTGTATTCCCAGCTACTTGGGAGGCTGAGGTGGGAGGATCAGCCGAGCCCAGAAGTTTGAGGATGCAGTGAGCTATGATTATGCCACTGTACCATTCCAGCCTGGGTGACAGACAGAGTGAGACCCTGTCTCAAAAAAATCAAATAAAAATAAATAAATAAAAA